TTATCACTCTATCACTCTATTCGAATTCTCATAGTGTATCTCTGGGAGAAGCAACATGGGTTCTAGGGATACTTTGGAACAGTTGTTTTCCTATTGCGAGGAGAGTATTTAATGGAGCTGTGATACCCAACAAAATTTTTTTTTCTTGATTACTCTCACGTTTGTGACTCCGTTCTACATCAAATTGTAGGCAACAGCTATTAATCTTTATCCACATCCATCAGTGCATCTCTAATGTCTCTCTTACAGGTTGCTACATAGAGAATGCCTCCGTTCTCAGTTATCTTTTATATCTTCCTCATCACTGGAGGCTTTGCAAACGATGATGACATTTCCACAGTACCTCACATACGTCAGCGTCGCTTCAGCATCATTTCTTTAGCAAAAAAATATTTATTTGACAAAATATTAGATTTACTTATTGAAAATAAGAATAAAAGCGAACCAGAAGATCCACGAGCAAATGTCGAATCTGTCACCGCTCATACCTCTACAGATAGAAGAGTCGGTACAGAAATCAAAATTGTGAACGTGATCAATAACTCACCAGGATATCATCCAAGAACCAAAATCGTTGATGCTCCGGCTACTACAGAATCTGAAAGTGTTGCCACGGTAATTGAAGATGAAATTCAGATAGAGGAAGCAGAGAACACGGCAAACAGAACCGTGCCTGGTCTGCCTCATACTTCCACAGATGTTGAAAACATTGCCACGGTAATTGAAGATGAAATTCAGATAAAAGAAGCGAAGAGTACGCAAAGCAGAGCCGTGCCTGCTCTGACTCGTACTTCTACTGAAGATGAAACAGTTGCCACAGTAATTGAGGATGGAACCCAGGAAGATAAAGCAGAAAACAAGGAGAGCACAGCCATGCCTACTCAGGCTTATACTTCTACTGAGGATGAAACTGTTGCCACAGTAATTGAGGATAGAACCCAGGAAGATAAAGCAGAAAACAAGGAGAGCACAGCCATGCCTACTCAGGCTTATACTTCTACTGAGGATGGAACAGTTGCCACAGTGATTGAGGATGGAAC